TTTTTTTTTTTGAAAGTTAGTTTGACTACTGCAATGACGATACCAGAAGATAGGAGGAAGAAAAAAAAAAAAAAGAAATCAATAAAACAGAAGTAGAAAAAAGACGAATTTATTTAAAAAAACCCATTTGATTAGCTGCTGGAATTCTTTTTGTAATTCAAATTTTAACATTTGATAATATAAGTATCAGTGATTGCTGTTTATTTGCTTATTAAAATTATTCTTCTTTGTTTTTGGCTCTTGATACATAGATTTTCTTCTTTTCTGCTGCTATTGCTATAGAATTTAATTTGGAACAATTTGATGGGTAACCAACAATGATTTTTTGTAAGATTTCTCTTTTTTTATTTTCCTATTTTATATTTAGATATGGCGTCATGGTGATCGAGCACCAGAAAAAGTTTTTGATGCATTAAAAGTTGCCAATGAATCATTTCCAAATGGTCTTGGAAATCTTACTGCAGTTAGTGGTGTTTTTTTTATTGTTCTTTTTTTTTTTGCCATTTCTTATAGTCCTATTTACCAAAAGTTACACTTTTTTTGTTTTTTTTTTTTTCTATTTCTAACATAAGTATTATCTGTCAAATCAAATGCAACAACTGAAAAGCTCTTTCTTTTTCGTACATAAGATTGAAATGAAATTGATATTGATAAGTGGTGAAGTGGTAATCTGTAGACAATATTACAGTGAAAAAGACTGTAGTACAGTAAAAATCTTGATAGAAATTTAACCATAGTTTATCAACTGTATAACTTTATATCAAGCATTAATACTACCCAAAAAAACAACTGATTTATCAAACGTAGTAAACTATTAATGAGGTTTTTTTTATTGTATTGATATATTTAATTTATTTTTTTCAGCTTGGCCGATTACAAGCACAATTTGTTGGCGAAAAATTACGACGACGATACTTTGATGACAATATAACAACTAGTAAACAGGTTGTTCTTCTACAGTTTTTTATAAAAAAAGAATTATTAAAGCGGGATACAGCAGCACCAAAAGCAGTAATTGCAAGAAAAAAGAGGAAATCTTTTAATAAAAAAGAAAAATTTACAGTTTTCTTCTTTTTTTTTTTTTTTTCAAAAATTGTATTTGACGAATAGTATAAATCAATAGGAAAAACCATAACAGTTTGCAGTTGCTTCTTTAAGAAAATCATAATTTTAGATTAACAACTTACTTTTTTCTTTTGTTTTTTAACTTCATTTCTCAACTTTACCATTTATTTGGGTTAGGCCAAAAAAATGAAGGGAAGAAGAGGAGATGAATTTTATGCTACTGTGTTGACAAAAACACACTAATTTTAGCACGTTAACTGCAAAAAAACAGCAAATTAAATTCAATTTAATGGTTTTTAATTTTTGTTCCAACTTTTTTCTTTTGCTATATTTTCAAAGAAAACTAAAGCATCAATTTTGTTTTTTGTTTATAGTTTGTACAAATTATTTGAATTTTGTTAGTAATTATTTTTTCATTTTTCTGTCGTATATCTTCTTCGATTC